CTCTCGCTCTCGCTCTCGCTCTCGCTCTCGCTCTCGCTCTCGCTCTCGCTCTCGCTCTCGCTCTCGCTCTCGCTCTCGCTCTCGCTCTCTCTCTCTCTCTCTTCCAAGCGCTCAGCCGATTAAAATCCTCCGATACTCTAACTCTCTATCCTCCGGAGCCTGCATTTTCACTACATTTCGAAATTTTCTAATATCATGTAGCACGCGGTGGTATCTGAGTTTGGTGCTACTTTATTTGACTATTTTATTTAACGCCTATTTTGATACTCTGAAGCCTATATCAGTCTCGTTTGATTCTATTTAAGTTATCAGAGAAATCTTCCTCGATTTCGAGGTCGATTTCAATTTCCATGTGTATTGCACGTACACCGATCCTTTAGAATATATACAGATGTTGGAAAATTCAGAAGCCAAAATAGAGCTAAAATTTCAAATAAGAGATATTTGTAACAAAATCGATTACCACGCGCGTATTTTAGACATTAATTTTCAGCGTTAATTACATGAATAAATTATACAATCGATGTTGACCTTGTATGAGAATTCAGAAAGATGAAATTGCAGATTGAGACAGTGAAATATTAAATGACTGGCATAAATCCTTTGTAACAACCATTTCTTCACACGCGGCGATTTCTCGGCTTTTCGTACTTGCGTCTCGACATATACGACGATGTGCCATAAAGGTCTCTCTCTTTTTTCTCTCTCCCTTCCTCCCTCTCTCTCTCTCTCTCTTCCTCTCTCTGCGCTTCCCGCCGACGAGGATAAGTCGACCGGTCGATTTATACGACTCGACAGTCCGGAATATAGGCGATCCGGGATTACCGGGCAGCCGGTCGGCAGCACGCGGAAAACGCCCACCTACGGCTAATGAAATTCTACGGAGGTGGGTCACGGGTCGACCTCGGAATCGACCTCGTGCACCGCTGCAGCCGGTGCCGCTGGCGGCTCGCGCGCATAAACGGCGACGTTTACACGGACTCACGATTATTCGGGCAATCGGTAAACTAAACCGCGGCGGCGGTGGTGGCGGCGCCCGGATTAATTGATTCGCCGTAACGATGATTGGCGAATAGCCGACACGTCGCCGCTGTTGAACTTGGTCGCTTTCCCACGCTGATTGCCGGCTGATGCGAGGAGGCCGCGATTCTCCCCGACGGAATCGACTCCGGCGACCGTGGCGAAACGCCGACGCGATATCACGGTATTCGGTATTCGCACGTGCGAGCGCGAGGGTAGATTTCATCGCATGTAAAACCGTGGGGATTTTGCCGGGACGAGAGACCTCCACAGTATCTACATTCGATGGGCCGGCGATTCAACGAAATTAATTCTCCCGAGTATCTCGAATATTAGGTCAGAATTTGACGCGCTTCACGCTCCCTGATATCCGAAATATTGACGTAATATTTGATACTAATGCAACGCGATTCTCGCACGTGTTATTACGACGATTTGCGAGTGAACATGTGTAGATTTATTTTCGATATAAATCTGCGCAATTCCGAACACGACGCGATATACTCGTAAAACACGCCGATTAACCAGACATCTGACGACACGAAGAATGCTTAATTTTTATAAGAATACATGATGTTTAATGATCTACACTGTGAAAAAAATATCTAAAAAATAAAATATATTTATTCTCAAATCTAAATTCTTTTATTTAAATGGAATAAACAATTGCTTTTAATGAAAAAAAAAAACTAATTGCTTTTGATAAAAAAAAACTAAGATTTCAAGAACAGATATATTTTCTTTTACTTAAGCAATATTTTGTATTCTACTATAAATAAATATGTTGTTATTAGTACTTATAATTTAGCATAGATTTGAAATATTTCGGTTGGAATCTCGGCTAAAGAAATGTTTACAACGGTTCGTGTTTCAGCTACGCCAATTTTGTTAAAATTTTAATTAAAATTGCCGGTTTGGCCGAGATTTAAACCATTTTTGACTAATTTAGCACAGATTTGAAATATTTCGTTTGGAATATTGGCTAAAGAAATTTTTAGAATAGTTCGTGTCTCAGCTATGTCAATTTTATTAAAATTTTAATTAAAATTGCTAGATTTCGATTTGGCCTAGATTCAAACCATTTTTGACTAATTTAGCACAGATTTAAAATATTTCGTTTGAAACCTCCACTAAAAAAATTTAGAATGGTTCGCGTTTCAGTTATGCCGATTTTGTTAAAATTATTCAACTAGATATAGTTATATCTTATATTCAATTTATCTTGTATTCAATTTTATTTCTTATGCATTTTTGTTGTACTTGATGATAGGAGTGAGAACATTAAAAAGCTATAAACTGCCCGTGAAACTCAAAGTGGATAGATGAAAATAAAAAAATATGACCTAGATATTTTTTGTACTTCCACATTTGTGCAAAATTAGAAAGAAATCGAAGTGTATCTTTTGAGTAGGTTTACTTGTCAGTATATCTATGCCTGTTATTAACACTACATTTTTAATTCCCGATTTACAAATCTGACGATTGTCTAATTGTTACTTGAGTTAATCGATAATAATAACAAAAGATTCAAAAGGATTCTTTCTCGACGCAAAAAGGTCGAACATGTAGAAAACAGTTTGGTCAAATATAGTTGTGATGTGTCATTAAAATAATGACAGTTAATGTCGTTGCTACCAAAGATTTTATCAAAATTATATAATTATACGATACACCGAAATTTATTATTTATTCGAACTTCGGCACTACAGCAAAAAATATTCATTACTATATTAAAAATATTTATTATATAATTTTGCTTTCCTCTCTTAAATTGCACTTTATGAAAACGCAAAAACAAAGCACTTCGGATTACAAACACAAATCAAGATTTTCCATTAGTTTTTATCCTAGATTAGTATTCGCTTTAATGCAAACACAAAAATCAGTGTCTCTCGTACTTACATGAGTACGTTGTTTGATCCCATAAAAGGACGATTTCACAGCCATCGGAAGCGCGACAATTTTCCCTTTCCAACAATTCTTGTTTCAAGTCGCTACGACGCCCACAAGTGGAGTTATTGACGATTGTATCGATTCGCGCGGTTTAGCTCGTCGGCGTTGTCGCGGAAAGTTGTAGATGAGTCACGATGCGGCGCGTGAATGGAACTGGTTATTTCCGGAAGGTCACTTATGCCGTGTGTGAGAAAATCCCTGCTCGCTACCCCCACTCCTCTACTAGATAAGTATAGTGTTCCCCCCCCCCTCCCGTCAGTATACATACTACAGC